GGCTGCCTTATAGATTTCACTAACAGCAAACCCACAAATGGGGTCCAATGTAATTTAATCTCTTAACTTCACCTCCAATTTAATTTCTTCTCTTATTTTAATCCTACACACCAGCCACACCAAACTCAAAGTTGCTTGCACAATTCCTGGCATCTGCACTGAACCCTGGCATAGAGAAATCCCTAAGTGCAGTATTCCTTGTGCAATCCTCAGTGAAACTATTGCTGGCATGCAAAGAAGTCTTGTCTAGAACTTTCTCCCACTCCACTTTGCTAAATGTTAAAAACAACAACAAAACCCCCAAAAAACCCCAACCAAGCCCCTTGACTTCAAGCTGATTCCAACTCATCACTATGCTGCTGAACAGATTCGAACAGCCCCATGCGCTCCTAAGGCTGTAAATAGTCAAGGACGCAGGCTGCCACATCTTTCTCTTGTGGAGTTGCTGGCAAATTCAAACGACCAACTTTCACTAACTAGCTAAGCCCTTAACCACTATGCTTCTAAGGCTCCTTGTCAGATAACAACATATCAAATAGCACATGTTTCCTTGTGTTGTATTGACTATGCCAACACATTTGACTGTGTGGATCGCAACAAACTATGGGTAATCTTGAGAAGAATGGGAATTCTGGAACACTTGATTGTGCTCACGTAGAACTCGTACATGGATCAAGAGGCAGTTGAGTAAACAGAACAAGGAAATACTTCATGGTTTAAAGTCAGGGAAGATGTGTGTCAGGGTCGCATCCTCTAATCATACTTATTCAGTCTGTATGCCGAGCACATCATCAGAGAACCTGCATTACATGAAGAAAGATGCGTCATCAGGATGGAGGAAGGCTTATTAACCTGCGATATGCCGATGACACAACCTTGCAGGCTGACAGTGAGGCACACTCGAAGCACTTGCCAATGAAGACGTAGGACTGCAGCCTTCCGTGTGGAGTGAGACTCAGTGTAAACAGGACCAAAGTCCTCACAACTGGACCAATAGGTAATATCATGATAAAAGGACAAGGTTGAAGTTGTCAGGGCTTTGGCCTTGCTTGGATTCAGAATCAATGTTCACAGAAGCAGCAGTCAAGAGGTCAAAAGACAAGTTTCATTAGGTAAGTTTGCGGCATAAGGCCTCTTTAGAGTATAGAAAAACAAGGATGTTCCTTTGAGGACTAAGGTGTGCCCGATTCAAATCATGGTATCTTCCATTGGCTCATATGCATGTGAAAGTTGGACACTGAATAAATTCGACTGAAGAAGAATCGATATATATGAATTGTTGTGCTGGAGAAGAATATTGAATATACCACAGACTGCCAAAAGAACAAACTGATCTATCTTGGAAGTATGGTCAGAGTGCTTATTAGAGGCAAGGCTTCCTCTTCCATGCTTTGGCCATGTTGTCAGAAGAGACTGGTCCCTGGGGAAGGACATCATGTTTGGTAAAGTGGAAGGTCAGCAAAAAAGAGGAGAGCCCTCAATGACACGGATTGGCACTGGCTGCCGCAGTGATCTCAGGTATAGGAATCATTATGAGCCTGGTGCAGGCCTGGGGAGTGCTTCTACTGGGCATTAGGTCACTAGGGGCCAGCACCGACTTGATGGCACCTAACAAAACAATAGCTTGTTATATTTCACTGTTCAAATTAAATTACACATATATTTTACAATATACAGTAAATTCCCTGAGGGTAGACCAACTGATATAGTTTATTATGCCAGCCTGGCAGATGAATACAAGTAGGATTAACTGAAGGGCGGAGAGATAATGGCTTGGTGAGCCTCGCCTTTCTTGTCTCTTGCTCTTTGATCATCGGACCAGTGTGCGGCTGCCTTGCTCGTTCTTTGCCTCAATTTATAGGCTACACTACCTGTGGGATGCCTAGCCTGTGGACTGTGTCTCTGTAATCCCTTTAAGCATCTCTGGAGCTGGGGACTGGCAGTTGGGACTGGTGGTTAGTTGACGGTTGGTGATCTGCCTTGTGATTGGCTGCTGTGCTGAGATAGCCTTGCTCTCTCTATAAATAGAGGGCGATCTGGCAGCAGAGAGACGAGAAGGTGTTATAATTATAAAAGCAATCAGAGTTCATAACTGCAGCCATTTGTAGTGCTTATAATTTAACTGTTCATTTCTTATATATTTATCTGTATATAATTTAACAGTTCATTTCTTGTTATATATCTAATTATCTTTATAAATAAATATATTTAATTATCAGCAATTTGGTTTTATCTCTCTAGAGAACCCTGTCTAACACACTAACGCTTTCATTATTTTTGTATTTCCAAAGACCAGTACAATACTAGACATACAGTAGGTGTTCAGTAGGTGGCTCACTTATTGTGAATACGCCGCCTATTAAGTATTTTCAAAACCAAATCAACGCCATTGAGTCCGTTCTGACTCATAGTGACCCTATAGGACAGGGAGAACTGCCCCTGTGACTTTCTGAGACGAATTCTTTACAGGAGAAGAAAACTCCTGGCATTTCAGATAGTAGCTGAAGGTTTAACTGATGAGCCCCCAGGGTGAATCGTTTTATGCAACTAAATTGTCATTAGTATTACTTTTATATTAAAATGTGTTTACTAAAAAACAAAACAGGCACAGTTGTGCCGAATTGTATATGGTGAATTAACAGAATGAATTCCTGATACAGTGACAACTCCTAGGATTCCCCACCCCCTCTGTAGTTATGAACTCTGATTGCTTTTATAATTATAACACCTTTGCTCATAACTACTTATAAGCCTCTTCCAGGAAAGATCATTTCTTATATGATAATTCCTCATAGATCTTTGGTATTAATGACAACTCTGCTCTGGGACTTTTGCAAATTGGAAAACCGTATGGATCATAAGGTCTGATCCTACAGTACATAGCCTTACCAGGAGTGGGTTGCTGACTCCATGTCAGCTGACAACAATAAAATAACACTAATATAAAGACACACCCATAAAGGAGAATTAAAGTAAAAGTCAACTAATACCCTAATGAGATGTACCAGGAGGGCAGTGCAAAGCACTCCCTGAATTACAACAATCTAATATGCAACTGCTCGTTAGTGCAGAGCAGCATCTTGTTCCACTGCACATAGTGTCACCATGAGTTGAGAGCTGATTTAAAACAGGTAACAACAAGGGCCACCACACTGATTTACACTCGGGTAGCATCAGTTTCATCTACTTTTACATCATCACTGCAAATGCCAACACAGTGAAAAAGAAAAATAATACTTTAATAGTATTATTGAGGATCTTGAGGGTTAGAGAGAGTACAATTTGAGAACTATGCTTCTAGGATCCTTAGTTCAATGCCTACTGCACAGTAGTTATTTCAATATCTGGCTACTGGATAAATGCTTGCGTGAAGGATTCACTCAGCAGTTTGAATATAGAAAACCTTGTTTGACTTGGCATCCAACCAGGATTTTTTTATACCAGGTTACAGAAGAGATATCTAAATTTAAATGATTTAGAAAACAGAACCTCAAAGCCCAGCATTGTAACTGGTCAAAACGGCTCTAAACTTTTTCTTTTTTTTTTTCCAATGAGGAAATTGGCCTCTTTTCTGATGGCTCATGGACTGGACAGGGTTTGGTGTCTCAAAAATTCTGTGAGTAAGGCTATGCCAGGCTGCTGGGTACAACCTGATGACTGGCCAGAAACCACTTGGCTTGGCAAGGGCTGTAGCTGTGGTGAAACTGATTTAGAATTAGTTATACTGGGAGTGGCAAGAAAATCCTGTTTTTCTTCTTATTGTGTGCCACGTGGAAATGATATAAGTATTTCATTCCCAAATACTTGTCAAGGAGAACAATTTGATAGTTCCAGAGGTCAATCAGTCACATGTTCTTTATATGTCTACGCAAGAACGTCTTAGCTTTATTGTCTATTGAGATGCACAATGATACATCTTTCTGGAACTTCTAATGGATAAAAGCTCTGCTTGAGTCACTTAAAAACTGGTTGACCTGTGTCCTGTGAGTAGGAGCAACTAAAGTCAAGGGAGAATATTTGGCCATAAACCACTGTAGATCTTGATCGTAACTGTCCCCATGTTTAGACAACTGCTCAGAGTGTTTACAGTTTTGCACTCATGTTATATATTGAACCATGTGCCCCCTAAAAATAGTTGGCGACATCCTACCCTCTAGTACTTGTGAATGTGACCTCATTTGGATAGGGTCTTTGAAGATGTTACCAGTTACGTTGACGTGAGGTCAAACAGGAATATGGTAGCTCCTAAAATCATCGGAGAAATGTACTTACAAAAGAGAAGAAACACAAAGACAGGAACACTAAGGGAGGGTGCCATGTCACACTGCAACGGAAAGACAAGGAATGACAGAAGCCACCTGCAGCTTTCACCATCAAAACGCTCAGAAGGAAACAACACATGTAACACTCAGATTTGGACTTGAGTCTCCAGGATTGTGAAATAATACACTGGAGCCCTAGTGGCATAGAGGTTATATGTGGGTGCTAACTGCAAGGTCAACAGTTGGAGACCACCAGCCCACCCTGAAGGAGAAAGATGAGGATTTTTACTCCTGTAAAGAGTTACAGTCTTGGAAAGCCACAGGGACAGTTATACCCTGTCCTTTCGGATCACTATGAGTTGGAATTGACTCAATGGCAGTGAGTTTGGTTTTATTTGTATAAGCCACCCTACTTGTGTGTGGTATTTTTTTTCATAGCTGCTGAATCCCAAGACAAATGAATTCAAAGTAGGACTGGGCAAATAGTTTTCTTTCCTTTTACACAATATCCATGTAAGCCATTGTTGCCTTATGGAATCCCTAGATAATATTTTACTAATTAGATCAGTTTCCTTCAAATAAGAAACTGTGGAGCAGATATGATGGACATGCATTAACAGGTTAAAAATGCCTAGTAAATGAACGAGGGGTTGTTAAAAAAAAAAAAAGCTGAGCTCTGTAGTGATTTCTTACCATTTTCCATTGGGTTTCATTTACTTCTTTATATTGAAGTTCGTATTCCAGGACTATCCATCCCTTCTGAACATCTGCACTGGGTGGTGATTCCCATTTCACTTGGATATCCGCATGAATTCCTGTTAAACTGATGTTCAGCAAAGTCCAGTTGAGGCCAATGGGTGGATCTGGTTGCACTGTGCATTCCAATAGAGAAATAGCACACAGGAGGGATACTTTTGAGGTTAATAGACTGCTCCTTCCAAAGAGCATACATTTGTACTGATCACCTAAGTTCTTCTTATACATCTCGTCATAAATCCCCTTTTGTAAGGCAATGTCATTTTTCCCCCTTAAGTATGGTCTGCATTTTAAGTGTAAAATCTGATCTATAACTTTTCGAGAAGATTTGCCAACTTTTACATTTTTAAAATTATTATGATCGTATTAGTGCTTTGGAATTCTGTCCCAGGAATTCCTTTGAGTTCAAAACCAGAGGGGAGAGAGAGAGAGAGAGAGAGAAATACTAGGTATATGCGGTTGTTTTTGAGCATTTGTACTTATAGGGAGAAGAATCTTTTTCTTCCAATGTATGCACATTGTCCAGTGGCAAGACTTTGCCTTACTCAGCTCTGTACTGCCAGTAGACCAAGCTATCACTCAACAAATGCCCCTTAACTTTTTGTCCTCTGATCACTTATTCAGACAAGAAGGAAGGCATAATACACACAGAGGGTGATGATCAAATGTTTTGTGTCTTTTACTTAATTGCCTTGTGAATAGTTTGGAATAGTGTTTTACTTTATCTCTACAGAAACACTTATGTTGTCAGGCAAATCTGTTGTGCTTTACTTATTAAGGCATAACATATCACAGTTTCTCAGGGTCGGTAAAGAGAAGAATGAATTCTAAAGCTAGGAACTATATCTGAACTTATATCCTGGACGGTCCCTAATAAATTATTGTAATTTAAGTCTTAATACTGAGGGTTTTCAAATTCACTTGCAAATACAGAGTAAAATGTACTTCCTTTTCTGTGATAAGTCAGCTAGATTACTATAACGTCTGAGTCCTCAGGATTGACCAGAGATAAGGCTACAAATATGGGCTGTCAAGAACAAATAGGGGTTTGTCAAAATCTGGTGGCCAAAGAGGAAATTTCTTGTATTCCTTCAGAGTGATAATAGACCTCACTGTCAAGGTGTATGCAGCTTGGCCACTGTGGAATGGATGTCAGTTTTTGTTTGCTTTAAAAATAGATGGAGACCAGATTTGACGAGTCATGATTGTGTTTGGAGATTAAATTTGGATTTGCAAAATGGCTAAACCATGAGTGGCCACATAGTAGCTATGATGTCTCACTGGCTGGGTTTGTTGGAGGATCACTAAAGCTAAACTATTTATTTATTGTTGTATGACAATCCCATTGTTTATTTTTTATTTTGCAAAACCCTTTTATTAGGAGCTTATACAGATATCATATCATTCCATAGTTCAACCACATCAAGCAGTAGTGTACCATTGCTACCACAATCAGTTTCAAAACATTCTCTTCCTCCTGGAACTCCTTGACATCAGCTCCCTTTACCCCCCACCCCCCTCCACTGTACTACCCAGAAATCCTTATTCTACTTGCTGATTCTATAGGTTCATCAATACTGGGTTTCATGTACTGCAAACCAGAAAGGGTTAACCCTTTAAGTGACCAGGCAATTTAAAAATATTTGGAAAGAAAATAGTGCATATTAGCATTTTTATGGTCAAGTTTTTAATTTAAGAGTGGCCAGTACCACTATTATCAGCATAATGATGACTTGGCTTTACTTCCACACACACAAACAGATGCCCTATTAGACAGCTCCTCTGGAATGTTTCAAAAGCATCTTGAACTCAGTATATCTAAAAGCAAGCCCCTGGTCTTTCTCTCCATGCCTGCTCCTCTGTAGCTGCTCCATCTTTTAAAATGCAAACCTATCCCTCCAGTTGTTGAATACTCCTGGACTCTTTCTTTCTCACCCCCCACATTCTACCAGCAGTACTGCCAAGCTACAATCAGAAGTCAACCACTTCTCTCCACCTGCACCTCTATAAGCTGAACTTATCCCTACCCCACATTGCTTGTCTTCATAGTACTGGCTCAGCCCACTGCTACTGGAAAACCACCACCCCGGGACATTGCTGTCTCCAGCACTTAGGACACTGCCTGGCACAAGGAAAGGACTCAATGCATATTTGTTGAATGAGCTGAATGAATGACATGTTTTACTAAAGTATTACTTAAATCCCCAAAATTGCCCTGTGAGGTGGTAGAATATCTATATAATAAATGAGGAAAGTGAGGCCTGTAGTGATTCACATCTTTTTCAAAGTCCAACAGGATCACCTCAAGTCTTCCCTCCCTCTGTTTCCTTCTTCCCATACTTTTTGTACTTCTGTCTAACATCATCTTTTGCCATGGTTAATACAAAATCTGCTAATCTCTCTATCTCTAGTCTGTCCTCTTCCAACCGACCCTTCATACTGCAGCCAAGTTAATTTCCCTGAGCGAGACAGGAGATGGCAGTAAGCACGGGCTCTGGTGCTCTGCTGCCTGGTTCAATTCCCAGCTCCACGTACCAGCTGTGTGACCTTTAGCAAGTCATGTGCTCTGCACTTCAGTTTCATCATCAACAAAATGGGGGTCATAAAAGAATCTACCTTGCCTGGTTGGCATCTGTCTGGCACACATTAAGTGTTAGCAACTTTGAGAGTGTTAGCAATTACTTTCTGCTGGTCATTTCCTTGTTTAGACATCCTTAAATGCTACTTCTTGGTAGTAAGGTAAATACAACTAACTTTGTGAAGCACGCATAGCCACTTGTGATGGTCCTGGCTGCCCTGGACAATTGTTTCTGTTCATCACACTTGACAGTTACTCACGGTGGAGAGGCACTGTCCATGCCCACCTGAGAACAACCACTCACATTGTAAGAGCCCTTCTTCATTCCTCACTCTCCCCTTTGGCTACCACTCCCCTTTGCTATGTGTTTTACACACCAGTATTTAGCATCAGTGATTTGGTGGCAGGACAGAGGGCTTCCATGCCAGAGACCTGGATTTGATTCTTGGCTATTGCATCTTAGACACAGCCACCATCTGTCTCTGTGGAGGCTCGCAAGTGGTTATGATGTTGAACTGATTAAGCATCTCCAGATTAAGATGGACTAAGAAGAAAGGCCTGGCAAGATTGAAACTTCTGAAACCCTGCCAGTGAATACCCCATGGAGCACCTATCTGGTCCAATTAGGATGACATAGGACCAAGCAGTGTTTTCTGCCCCTGAGTCAAACAGAGTTAACCATAAGTATAGCACCTACCACAATGTACTGCTATAGTTTGCTAACATACCTCACTCCCTGTTGATTATATGTTACTCATTCCAGAGTCACCATGCCCCAGCACAGTGTCTGGCACATGGCAGACATTTAATAAAGGTCAGCCAGCAAAATGGGGGAGGGATTGGTAATTGGAATGATAAAGTTAGAACACATTTTTAGACCTAGTATTCTTTCAATTATCCCGGATGTAGCTGCTCTACAGCTATGGATGTTTAGAGCATACATTCGGCTAGTTGTCAATACTCTTTTCTGTTTATTAGCGTTTTCTCAGTTTTCTTCCTCAAAGCCAGCCCTTCTGATTTTCCTTGTTTTTGTCTGCAGCATCTGGTCACATGCCTACCAGGCTCTTCTGGTTGGCTGAGGCCTAGGAAGCATGCAGTGAAGCCCATCTGAGAGGAGCTCAAAGGAATTCCTCTAAACAACACACATGCATTGTGGAAATATTTTGAGGTACTAATTTCAGCTACCCAAAGTCCTTCTTTGTTTATCTCTATTTTATTGTTTATACAATTACAGCATAAATGCAAGTAGTCGAATTATATTTGTTGTGTTTTATTTCCCCTGCTTCTGACTACATGATGGGCAAGAGACAATCTGTTTATATCTTTCACTTCGTTCATGAACTGATTATCTCCCATGTTTGTTTTGAGATCTTGTAAACATTGCTTTTGAGTTGATTCTGGCGGTTTTATAAATGTGAAATCCAAGATTTAAGATGCTTGGTGATAAAGACCATCTAAGCTTTTGTGACAGTCATACTAAAAGGCAATAGCCAACATATTTAAGTATATCTGAGTTTAATAATCATATTGAATAGTGGGGAAACGTGACCTTAAGAGTACATTGAGCTTGTCCCTGGCAGTGTCTCTACTAACCTCACAGAAAAAGACTCTGCAAAGCCCCTTTCTTCACAATTTTACTGTTTATCATTTTCAGTAGTTTTTGTAAAGACCAACACAAGATTGCCCTGCCCTTTTCCTCTTCTTAGTCAGCCGACCTTATCTGTCAAACAGCTCCCCATATACCTGAGAATATCTTTACAAAGCCTTACTACTAGATTTTAATTGGACATTGTGGCCTTCCCCACATATGTTAATCTAAACCATGCCAGGTAAAACACAAACCTGTGATTTACCTATTTCCTCAACAGAGAAACACTTTTCATCCACTGTACTGCCATTGTTAAGTAGCTTGACACAGTAGAGGATCCAGATCGAGGTGTAGGATGAATTGAAGTAGCAGCTGTTTTCTCCAGCAGAGACATAATCAGGGCACTCTGTCCACTCTTCAGTCCATTCTAGTTTGGTTCTGAAACAGGATAGACAAGATGAGTTCTCAAAAACCATACTATCCCTTAAGTCAATGTGAGGGGCTTGACAACCAAATTGAATCAATCATAATCAATATTTTATGAAGGATTATTTTAGTGTTGCTATTTCCAGTTAGTAGCCCATTGGGCTACTAACCTCAAGGTCAGCAATTTGAAACCACCAGCTGCTCTATGCGAGAAAGATGAGGCTTTCTACTACTGTGAACGGAATGATTGGACAATTCTTCTTGATATGATCAACCTATTGTGTGCTATATGGATTAAGTGCCAATAAAACTGTTAAAAAACAAAAAGTTATAGACTTAGAAACCCACAGGGGATATTCTATTCTGTCCTCCGAATCAGCATTGCTCTAAGGAACACATTATATTGAGTCACAATTGACTCAATGACAGTGAGTTTTTTCCTTTCTCTCTTTCTTTCTTTCTTTGGCCTTTTTTCTAAGACATATCACACGTATGCACAATGTCATCAGTGGCAGGAGACCGATAGGGGACATATGGAACTTTCATTAAAGCATTCATTCATTGATATATGTGATGGGCCTGATCCTACATTAAGCAATTTCTAAGGCAGGTTTTTTTTTATTGGCCCCATTCTGAAGGGAGGTTAAAATTTTTACCTTAGTCAATTATTGTAGGGAATCAACCTCAAAAAACTATAGATGAAAGAATGAGGCTTTGAAACTGGGTGTTTCCCTAATTCATGGTGAAAGAAATAAAGGAGGTACAATGATGCTGTACCCCAGGCTGAGTGACTCTAAAGTATGGTCAGTTTTGAGGTGGAAAATCTACAACTGTGTGACTAGTGATGAGGTGGGAAATCAGCCTTCTGAACCTTGCATTCTATGTCCACCTCTCTGTGCTCTGCTGGAGCTTTGGGGAGTTTCTGATGTCTAGAACTTCTTTTAATGATCTTGAGTCTCTCAAAAATTTCATGTCATCAAGTTGATTCCAGCTCATAGTGACCCTAAAGGACAGGGTAGAACTGATTTGAACTATTTTTAAAATTTTTAGAGTTTTATGGGAGTATAATTCATATATCATACAATTCAATAGTTCCATCATATTAAAAAGAGCCCGATATTAGCCAATATGCCTGATACCAATCTATAAAGTTCTCTTCAGACTCACAAAATGCATCAATGATGCTGAATGCAGGAAGATCACAGGCCAGTGGGTGGGACAACCTGTGGATCCAGTGGCATTGCATTGTAAGCATCTTAGCACTGGCAGGGTTCTCCATGTGGCCCTCCAGCTCAGTGCATTAGCTTAGCTCCACATGTCTTGTCAGCTGCAGTGTCTCATAGGGAGTGTGCCTGTGTCCCGCCTCCAGCAAGTTGCTTATCCCCTTAGCGCCGCAATGAGGTCATCAAGCTGGGACTTGATTGACAGGCTAAATTCTGCCCTTTCACTCTTAATACTCAAATTGACTACAGATTATGTAACTATCACTTACATTCACCTCAACAATCAATTTTAGGACATTTTCTTCTCTCTTGTACTCATTGTTATCATCTCCCCATTCCCCCCCAATGTCCCCTGCCATTTACTCCAAGAAACCATCAATGTAGTTACTATCTCTATAGTTTTATATAGCTTGGATTTCATAAGCATAAAAACACATGGAAAAATAGAAAAACAAAAAAATTAAAACCCACTGCTCTCCGCATGACAGCAAGGCTATCTCATCCCTGGTCTATGGTCAGAAGGAATTCACTGGAGTTTTAATCCATGTGTGGACCCTGCAAATGGATTTCAGGCTCCCACTATCATCCATAGCTTTCTGTAAACTGCATATTCATAATTTAAGTTCTGATACCATTCACTCTTTTAGATTTTATTATTTATAATCACATAGGCTGGTGTACTTCTACTGTGTGGGCTTAGTTGCCACCTTACTTAGATGTCTGTTTGTTTGAAGAAAAGTCTTTTTTTTAAATCATTTTATTGTGGGCTTATACAACTCTTATCACAATTCATCCATCCATCCATTGTGTCAAGCACATTTGTACATTTGTTGCCATCATCATTCTCTAAACATTTGTTTTCTGCTTGAGCCCTTGGTATCAGCTCCTCATTTTTACCCTTTCCTCCTACCCCCGTCCCTCTTTAATCCTTGATAACTTATAAATTATTATTATTTTGTCATATCTTACACTGTCCAACATCTCCCTTCACCCACCTTTCTGTTGTCCGTTCCCCAGGGAGGAGTTTATATGTAGATCCTTCGCATCCCACCCTCCATCCACCCTCCCGGTATTGCCACTCTCACCAGTGGTCCTCAAGGGATCATCTGTCCTGGATTCCCTGTATTTCCAGATCCTATCTGTACCAGTGTACATCCTCTGGTCTGGCCAGAGTTGTAATAGAACTGGTGGTAGTGGTGGAGGTTCCTCTACTTCTTTAATGCTTCTTCCCCCTCCCATTCTCATGACCCAAATTCAGCCTTACAAATCCGGCTAGACCAGAGCATGTACCCTGGTACAGATCAGAGCTTACAACACAGGGGATCCAGGACAGATAACCCCCTCAGGACCAATAATGAGAGTAGTGATACCAGGAGGGAATGGGAAATGTGGGGGAAGAAAGGGGGAACTGATTACAATGATTGACATATAACCCCCCTCACTGGGCGATGGACAACAGAAAAGTGGGTGAAGGGAGACAGCAGTATGTGTAAGGCATGAAAAAATTAATAAATTATCAAGGCTTCATGAGGGAGGGAGAGTGATGGTGGGAGAAATACCAAGGGCTCAAGTAGAAAGAAATGTTTTGAAAATGATGATGGCAACAAATGTACAAATGTGCTTGATACAATGGATGTATACGGATTGTGATTAGAGCTATAAGAGCCCTCAATAAGATGATTTATTAAAAACAAACAAAACTACTGAGCTATGCATTGAATAGGCAGGAGATGTCAGTAAGTTTTCCATAGAAGGAAGTCAGAGATTTGGGAAGGCAATTCTCCGGTCAACTGCCATGGAGACCTGGATAATAATGTGGGACAAGCAACAGACAATTCAGACTCCAGTTCACATTAGCAGGGACAGAACAGACATGTAACAATGGATCAGGTTCTTCAAATCCCAGTCCATCTGTCTGACTGACTGAATGTCTGGCTGACTTCAGCAAATACTTTCTGTTGTTATTGTGAGGCGCCATCGGGTTGATGCCAACTCATAGCCACCCTATGAATAACGGGATGAAACACTGCGCAGTCCCGTGCCGTCCTCACAATTGTTCTTATATTTGAGCCCACTATTGCAGCCACAGAGCCAATCTATTTTGTCAAGAGTCTTCCTCTCTTTTGCTGCCCCTCCACTTTACTGTGCATGATGTCCTCCAGGGACTTGTGTCTTCTGACCACATGTCTAAAGTATATGAGATAAAGTCTCGTCATCTTTACTTCTAAGGAACATTCTGACTGTACATCTTCCAAGACAGGGCACACACACAGTATGACAAAGGTATATTAAAGAGAATGGTTTAATAAGACTGTCCAGATAATGATACTTTCATAGAACAGTATTTTGTTAGGTGTCACTTTGTCAGACATGGAACATGGGATATCATGGTTGTGAACAGTGGTTCTAGGCTGGGTTGACTAGAGAAAGCAACCAGTGACAATCATATATGTGCAAGAAAGAGCTTTATATCAAGAAGTACTTGTATATCAGGAAAACATCCCAATCCAGTCTATAAGTCCAGTACTAGACCATAAGTCCCTCTTCAGACTCACGCAGCCACATGCAATGATGCAGAATACAGGAGGACCACAGGCAAAAGTGTTGTGAATCTATTGTTAGTAGAGGTATCTTTAGGGCTTGTTAGGTCTCAGAGTGGCTTGTCAGCAGGAAGGTGAAGGCAGAGAGAGTGAGGGAAGTTCCCAGGATCCTCCTTATGGGAATGCCATGCCTACAGGGAGTCACCATCAGGCTGTGACCAGACTGACAAGTTGAATACCACCCCTACACTTTCATATATCTGCAAGTTGACATGAAATTCTGTAACTACCACCACAGTATACCCCCCAAATCAAACCCACTCCTGTGGAGTCATTTGTTATTCATATCAACCTTATGGAATCACAGTAAATTGTCCCACATATTTTTCAAGACCACAATCTATGGGATTAGACTGCCACATTTTTCTCTCACAGAGAAGCTGGTGGGTCTGGACGACTGACTTTTGAGTTAGCAACCAAGTGCTTTAACCACACCACCCCCAGGGATCTTTGATAATGTTGCTGTTGTTGGGTGCTATTGAGTCCGTTCAGACCTTATGCATGACAGAAAGGTCCTGCATCATCCTCACAGTTGTTCCTTTGCCTGAGCCCATTGCTGTAGCCATCGTGTCATGCTATCTCATTTGAGGGCTTTCTTCTTTTTTGCTTCCCCTCCACTTTACAAAACATGATCTCCTTCTCCAGGGTTGGATCTCTCCTGACAATGTGTCCAACATTTATAAGATGAAGTCTTGCCACTCTTGTCTCTAAGGAGAACCCCAAGACAGATGGGTTTGTCCTTTTAGCAGTCCATGGTACTTCCAATATTCATCTCCAGCACCACCGTTCAAATGCATCGATTTCTCTGCAGTCTTCTTTATTCAATGTCCAACTTTCACATGCGTATGAGGCAACTGAAAATGCCATGACAACATATCCAAAGTATGGAAGATGAAGTCTTACTTCATCATAGTATCCCCATAAACCTACTACACAGAGGACTGCAACTCATCGTGACCCACAATATAGGACAGAGTAGAACTGCTCCCCAGGGTTTCTGAGAGAGGAAATCTGGACAGGAGCAAATACTCTCACGTTTCTCCTATAGAGTGGTGCCCAACCGAATCACCAGATCTCCTTTGATGGCAGCATGAAACAACACAAAGAAAAGCCCACTGCCATCAATTTGATTCTCAAAGTGACTCTATAGATCAGCGGTTCTCAACCTGTGGATCCTGATCCCTTTGGG